ATTCTCCAACGCGCCTAGGCATGCTTCTGATCAGGTGGTCAATGTCCTCCTGTGGTATCTCATTCCAGGCAACCACCAACTCCTCTCGAAGTGCTTCTAGAGTCTAAGGAGGACGTTGCAAATTGAGCAATCTCCTACCCATCATATCCCACACGTGCTCAATTGGGGATAAGTCGGGAGATCTTGGTGGCCATGGTAACAATGTGACATCATTATTTTGAAAGAAGTCTATCGTGACTCTTGCAACATGTGGTCGGGCATTATCTTGTTGGAAAGATGGATCTGCCAGGGTGTCAAGATAGGATAAAAGTTGGGGTTCTAGAACTTCGTGGATATAACGCTGCGCGTTCATGTTACCTGTGATGAAGATTAAAGGTGACCTGGAACCATAAGCTATAGCACCCCAAACCATAACTCCAACAGTGTGATGAACATGTCTTTCAACAAAAAACTGTGGATTCCTCCTTTCACCACGTCGCCTTCTAACCCTGGCACGACCATCGTGCATGCCTAAACAAAATCGAGACTCGTCACTAAAGACAATGCTGTTCCATTCCTGATCCCAGAGTGACCGTTGTCTGCACCACTCAAGGCGATTACGTCGGTGTAAGGGTTAGAAGGCGACGTGGTGAAAGGAGGAATCCACAGTTTTTTGTTGAAAGGCATGTTCATCACACTGTTGGAGTTATGGTTTGGGGTGCTTTAGCTTATGGTACCAGGTCACCTTTAATCTTCATCAGAGGTAACATGAACGCGCAGCGTTATATCCACGAAGTTCTAGAACCCCATCTTTTACCCTATCTTGACACCCTGGCAGATCCAACTTTCCAACAAGATAATGCCCAACCACATGTTGCAATGGTCACAATAGACTTCAATCAGCATAGTGATGTCACATTGTTACCATGGCCACCAAGATCTCCCGACTTATCCCCAATTGAGCACGTGTGGGATATGATGGGTAGGAGATTGCTCAATTTGCAACGTCCTCCTCAGACTCTAGAAGCACTTCGAGAGGAGTTGGTGGTTGCCTGGAATGAGATACCACAGGAGGACATTGAGCACCTGATCAGAAGCATGCCTAGGCACGTTGGAGAATGCGTAGCACATCAGGGTGCATCCACACATTATTAAAGGTCAAAGGGCTTTAAAGCAGTGCAATCATTTTGAAATTTTTATCATTTACTTATTATGCTTCATTAAGTACTTATACAAAATTTTATTAAAATAAAACCATTTAAACTAGGTGTTCGGATTTATATGTCACTTAGTATATCTACAGAACAAGCGATCTGAAAAAAGTTCCTCAGTAAAAAATGTATGGAAAATCGAGAGACGTTTTAGGGGAGAGTGGTACACACTGACACAATTTCTGAAAAATCCACGGACAAACCTTGATGACTTGTTTTTTAAAAAAATCATTCCGTGTGTCTTTTACCTTACTCAATTGCAAATAAGGTCCAATATGTAATAACAAGAAAATGAAAGAAACTAAAGAGAAAAATTAAAAATTTCTTTGGGCTGCATTTGTATCAATGTGTACCACCAGTGGTACAGTTTGAAACATATGGTAGCACAATAAAACACGTTTTAAATTATTACAAATCTGTCAGAATCAAACAATATTTATTTTTGTAGGTCATCGTACAATTATATTGTTAAATTCTAACCCAAATCTATAATAAGAAGAAAGTCTTTTGTTGCTGTTGCTTAATGGGTTCTGGTAATAACATAACAAAATCGGATTTCAACCCCATATGAATATCAGGAATATCGGAAAAATAAAATGAATTTCAAACTTTGCCGCACCTTCTTAGGTATGAAACTTTGAATTCTTCTTAGTTTACAACATCTAAAAATTTGGCAACATAATGAGTATTATTTTCAAATTACATCAAGACGAAAGAATCTTTCAAAATATAAGTGCTTTCAGTAATTTCGTAAGATTTCAAGTTATTTTTCTGTTCCTGTATCATGCTATATTTAAGGCCACGGGCCACTTTAGGTATATTTAATATCACTAACACGTAAAAAGAAGGTGGTAGACAAGGACCAGTCGACCGAGGCGGTACCACCCGCTAGCTTTTCCCAGGGTGTCTTATAAACGTCCGCATGTTTCCACACCTAACCTATGCAGTCGGTTATCTTCCAAAACAAAGAAATTAATGATGATGGATCCCTCGAGCACTAAGAACTCCGGACGTAAACTCACTCCACTCTCGGAATGTCCGGGTGGAGGGTAGGCTCGAGGGAACAACATCGAAGATAAAATTTGTTTTTCGGACATCTGCGGGATTAACAGCAACATTGATGCTGTTCATCGCTACCTGCAATCCAATCGTCCCGCCGTGCTTTTCTTGGCGGAGACAAAAATCTCAGAGACTGCACCGATTAACCATCTCAATTTCCCAAACTACGAGGTGCACTCCAATCTGAGAAAGAACGGGGGAGTTGTGGCATTTGTCCGCAGCAGTCTTTCCTGCTCCAGAGATCTTTCTTTGGAATCAGACCGGAAGGACATTCTGTGGCTTCGCCTCAACTCCAAAACATCATACAAATTTATTTGCTGCCTTTATCGCTCTTCCTCGAACCATAACTGGGATGACCTACTGGAATACCTCGCCGTCCAGATCGACTTCCTGAACATCAATCACCCCGCTTCAGAGATAGTTCTTCTTCTGATTTCAATGCCCATAATGAGCTTTGGTTGGGCTCAAATAAGACCGATGCAGCAGGTCGTACAGTCGAAGCGTTCGCTCTTACTCAAGGGCTGACCCAGCTGGTGACGAGCCCTACTTTTTCCCCCGCGTCTCGTCACATGCCAGTAGCCTGCTGGACCTCTTTCTGACCAAGCATCCTGTCTCTTACAGCACTGCTGTCCTGTCCCCCTTGGGTAACTCAGATCACGGTGTTGTGGAGGTTAGGTTTCGGTCAGCACTCGCTGTGGCAGCAGAAACCCGTTCAGGCCGCAAAACTTGGCATTACGGACATGCCGACTGGGAGGGGCTCAGAGACTTCTCTTCTAGCTTTCCTTGGAGAGATATCTGTTTCACTAACGCGGATGCGTCGACTGTCTGTTCTTCGATAACCGAAATTATCCACGTCGGAATGGAGGAATACATCCCTCACACAGTGAAAGCTCCTAAACCAGGGTCCAACGGCTGGTTTAACAAATCGTGTGACACTGCCCGAAACCGGAAGATCAAGGCACACAGAACCTACTTAAAAAACCCCATTGTAGAGAACAGACAAGCGGACGTCGAGTCCAGAAACAAATATAACGAAACGGTTCGCAATGCCAAAAACCAGCACGATATAAAAGTTAGGCACAGGGTAATGTCGCAGCGCAATGGCAGTCGGTCTTTCTGGACACTGACCAAGCAGATTGAAAAGAACTTCTCACACAGTAGCCTTCCACCACTTACGTGTCAGGATGGAACTATTGTATTCGACTCAAAGGCCAAGGCGGAAGTGCTAGCCAAGATCGTTGCTGCCAACTCCACCACGGACGTCCCACCAACGCCCAAGTGCCGTCAATTCAAAGGGTTCCCCACACTATGCGGGAGGTAACATTCAGGCATAAGACCGTAAGACAAAGCTTCTGGTCCGGACTTGATTCCTGCCATCCTACTGAAGAGATGTGCACCGGAGCTTTGTCCAGTTCTTTCGCGTCTCTTCCAGATATCTTATGAATCCGGCACCTTCCCAGAAAACTGGAAATTTGCTCATGTTCAGCCCATCCCAAAAAAAGGGTCTAAGACCGACCCTTACAACTACAGGCCTATAGCTCTGCTTTCTGTTATAAGTAAAGTGATGGAGAGGTGCATAAATCGCGAGCATCTGTACTACCTCGAACATCACAGCTTGATTAGCGACAGACAGTACGGTTTCCGGCACCAACGATCCACAGGGGACCTCCTAGCTTACGTCACGCACTTGTGGAGTAAACGCATCCAGTCTCATGGTGAGGCTCATGTCGTTGCTCTTGACATCACGAAAGCATTCGATCAGCTGTGGCACGCTGCCCTCTTAAGCAAACTTCCATCCTGTGGCCTCCCAGAAAAGCTTTGCAGATGGGTGGCTGACTTTGTCTCTGGCCGCAAGATATCCGTCGTAATTGACGGATTCTCCTCTTCATCCCACAACGTCAACGCGGGTGTTCCTCAGGGATCGGTCTTAGCTCCAACACTGTTTCTCTTACATATCAACGACCTCCTTTCCTGCACGATCAACCCAATCCACAGCTTCGCTGATGACAGCACTCTACATGCAGGAATTCAGAGTGACAAGCCGATCTCTGCCGCTGAGCTGGAAAAAAGAAGACTAGCGACGACTTCTTCTCTGACAAGAGACCTGGAGGCTATCACTGCTTGGGGACGCAACAAACTTGTACAGTTCAATGCTTCCAAAACACAGTACTGTACTTTGACGAACAAAAAGCGTCCTAGCGCTCATACAGTTTCGATGGACATCCGAGTTCTACCAAAGAGCCATTCATTTCGGCTAGTCGGAGTCCAGATCACCGAGGACCTGATCTGGCACGAACACATCTCGTCAATAGCTGCAGCTGCTGGGAAAAATCTAGGCTATTTGTTTAGGGCTAAGAAGTACTTTTCTCCGCATGACCTTCTCACTCTATACAAGGCCCAGATAAGGCCTAGCCTCGAGTATTGCTCACACATTTGGGGTGCTGCCGCCCCGACTACATTGTCCATGCTCGATGCTGTCCAGAGGAGGGCGGTCCGACTGATCGATGACTCTTCACTAACAGACAGCCTCGGGACCCTTTCGCACCGGCGGGCCGTCGGCGATCTAGCTCTTTTCTATCGCTACGCCAACGGGCTTTGCTCCTCAGAGCTCTCTTCTATGATGCCGCGATGTGCCTGCCAGACAGACCCGCCTGACTGCGGCGTCCCATCCTAACCGTGTCAAACTTCGTACATCCAGAACTGGCCGATACGACCGCTCCTTTGTCCCGATGGTGTCTAGATTGTGGAACAATCTGCAAGAGGAAGCTTTTTCCAGTTCTACTAACCTTAGGCAGTTCAAAAACGTATTAACAAAATTTCTTTGGGATCATCATAGCAGCCGCGGTGTTCCGGCAATTAGGCTTCTGCCTGCGCGGCTGTTTCGATATAAAAAAAGGGTCTTCTAATGATAATTCCTCGTCGGAAGAGTCCTTCAACTCCAAATTATTATCTTCTGATTCTGAATCTGTTTCATTTGAGATCTTTTTCTTTGTTTTTCTTTTCTTTGTTTTTCTTTTCTTTGTTTTATCATTTCTGTTCAAACTCCCTGATATATTTCTTTTCACCTTCTCAACTGCAGTCGTGTTTGGGGTTTTTCTTTCTTCTGTTTTATAAGAAAGATTTCTCATTTCTGGTGTGATAGTTAAAATAATGCTCTTCTTTGTTTTTCGTTTCCTATTTAAATTCTTTCTAGGTGCAGCTTTTGGAAATCCTCGCAGCTCAAAAGCTTTTTCTTATTCATAGTTAATTCATTTATTTGTGTTTGTTTGTTACCATATAAACCAACAGATTCAGTTTCAAAAATTGGGTTTTCCTCTTTCTCATCTAATTTGCGATCCAAAGTTTGAATTGTACCAGATGAACCAGCGCTGGACGAAAGGCAACATTTGAACGTGAAGGGTTGTCTTGACTGTTTCCACGGGTGCCATCTGGTATTTCAACTATTGCTTTTTTGTGCCCAGATTATCTGAGCCAATTTGTTCGCTGTGGCGGCAAAAACGTTCCATTTGCTCGAATTATTGCACAAGTGGTAGCTAGCAAACCTCTCTCGGCACTTGTACACTGATTAAGTTGTTTAACCCCTTTTTGCGCAACTACCTTATGTGGGCGCTGGACGGTTGTCGTGGACGTTTCATCCAAGTTATATATGCGGATATCTTGAAGAATTGATGGATGTTGCTTATATATTTCTTCAAAGTGTGAGAAAAATCTATCCACATTGGGTTTGGTGAAAGAAGTAAGCCTGGACAACGAACATGCTACAGGCATTCTCAAGCTTAAAGTTGGGTTTCGTTTCACAAATGCTCGTAACCAGTCTTTGCTTGCACATTTGTTGATTTTCCACGAGTTGGGGATAGGTATGTTATTCCTAACGGCCATCTCATACGCTAGCTCCCTAACTTTCAAGGTATTTAATCCAAATGCCATCTTGCTACAGGTCTTAAGATAATCGCACAACATGGTCTCTAAATATGAATCTTACAGCATAATTTGGCTCCATTTTAGCATCGGGATTGTTCCTTTCTTTTAAAACATATCGCCTTAGCGTTGAGAAGTTGATGTTGAACATATCTGCAGCAATGCGAAGTGAAACTCCATTATTTTTAACTTCTTGGACTGCTGCCGCCATTTGTTGGCTTGTAAATTTAGCTCTTGATCGTTCTTTCTTCTTCCTCACCATTATAAAACTGTAAAAAATAAGCTAGTATAGAATGACACTCGGTACGCAATGAAACAGCGAGATAGGTACACAATGACACATGTATCATTGTGTACCACCAACATGTGTCATTCTTAAATTCGTTATAAATGGCTAACCTAAGTAACATTGGTTTCAATCATTTATAGGTTAGGATAAACATAAAAGTAGTAATTATAATCATATTAAATAAAAACAGGAACTATTAAAATGTTAGCAACATACCTTTTTAAAGTCACTCACGATTTTAAAATTTAAGCACCAAAAATAAGAAAATTTTCGACACGTCTTAATTCGTCGAAAGTCTGGGACAATCTACCGGTGGCAAAAGTAATACCTTAAATGTCGTCCGCGTGAGCGCTGGTGGAGTTCTGGCGGCAAATTTAAACCAGATAAATAACATGTTTCATTGTGTACCATGTGTCATTGTGTACCATTCTCCCCTATATCATGCGCTCATTTTCTTCGAAAAAACCACTGGCGTAGAAATATTTCCTATTAGGGGTCCAGGTGCCCCAGTTTCTACGTCCCTGGTTTGGTTTGGACCGGGAAACTCTGTGTGCTTATTGCTGATGATGTGCTTACTGTATATCTAAAATCATAACTCAGTATCTTTAACCGCTCTGTAGATATATATCTTTTTAAATTTCTCAAATAAAAGTTCATCACTCTGTATCTCGGTATATTTATGAGAACATTTTTTGTACTTTCTGGAAGTATAACCTACCCTAGGAATGTTGGTACATCCTTCTGAAGCACCCTTTATACTTTTTTTCTGCAAGGTCATACTAAAAGCTTAGAGGGGGCATCAATTTATATCAGAACACACCCACTATGAAACACAACTCTTTTTTATATTACTGTGGCTTCTATAAATAAAAACAAATGAATGCTTCATTTGTTAACAGGTATTTCATTTTAATTTCAATAGTGCGCTTTTAGTTTCAAATATTAAATGTAAAACGGATGGCACTCAAACAATGCTGTCAGCTACACACATTCAGGGTTTTTTGAATAACTATCGCCAATGAGGGCCGAAAATGCATTGATAGGACAAATGGACTGTCGATGCTCATTTTGTATTCATGGAGCTGTCGCAGAAATGATGGAAGTTCGACAAGAGGAGGCGGATACGGTAAAGCATTGGAGTGAAATGGAATGTAATTTTTATGTCAGTATGATTGTCGCATGGCAATTTTGGAATGGTTTCAATATAATTTAGTGACCCTATTATTTACGTATACCTTATATGATTTTTCATAGTGGTAGAAAATTATAGGTGTCTTATTATATCCATACCTGGTTGATCGAGCCAACCTAGAAATAGAAGTATGTTTTTTGTTTGTGATGTATTTTTCTGAATTGATTTATAAGTTTACTTATTTCTTAGTGTAGGCACCTTTCCATATGAAAAGTCACCTATTTTTCAGTATATCCGTATATTTTGTATTAGGCCCCTTCTGTACACGAAATTAGGTTTACTCCTCACATAACTGCATCTGTCAATTGTAGATGCATTTGAACGGACATCTATGTTAAGTGTGTTTCGGGTACCCAATAAATGAAACATAATAGACCAAGAGCCCGCGACGGCCAGACCTTCGTTATTTTATAAGACCTGAAAGGTAAGAAATAAAGTTTAATGGCCAATTTTTTTATATTTTGATCAGAATAATGCTAGAACCTCTGCCAGATGCCACTAAGCTTTAATAAGCTAGAGTTAAACTTTCGTTATAGTACAAAAGCTAAATTTCATATGTAGTACTTGGTGGACTTGGAAGACTTTTCCTTAGCAGCTGGACAGGATGGTTTATACATTTTGCAAGACACATTGAAAGTCTACCGTAGGTGCAAGCGCCAGATGATATCGCTATTACGCAAGGTACCTAAGAAAGTTGAATACACAAATTGTAACCAGCATATCCTGATGCGGAAATTATTTTTATCTCTACAGGGCAAGGGACTACACAAACGCAACTTTTCAGAACATTTAAAGTCATTACGGATGTACTTGGAAAACGACATAATGTAGCAGCGGTTGCTACGAACACCTCAAAACTCTTTGACTCTATCACTCATACTGCTCTTATACAGGGTGACTTCGAAGTTGAGTCATTTATTTTAACAGTGAGTAGATCTGATCAAAAGAAATGTTTTTTTCCTTTACCATTTTTCTGGTAAAATTAAAGTAACAAAGTTATAGCCCTTTGGAAGTTTGAGTACCGCCCTGCCTCAATAATAATATTATGTGCTCGTGTTTGGCAACAACGGATATAATCCGCCTTATACTTAGTTGTATACAGTCAGTATCAGTCGGTAACGCGTGAGTGAATAGTGGTGTCTGTTGCGTGGCTCAAACGAAATCAAAAATGGCACATGTTTACGAAAATGCTGAACTTGTGGACATGATTCTTATTTACGGGGGGGGGGAGTCTTTATGCGGATCGGTTTCCCAATCGAGTGCAACCAACCCCTCGTGCCTTTGTTAATGTAGTACAAAGGGCTCGTGAATCACGTGACTTAAGACCTCACAGGGGATGCATGCCGGTGCTCCAAGACCGCACGATCAAATACAGGTCCGCACTGAAATACTTGTCGGGAGGATACTTTATAAAACAAGGTAACATTTTTTTTTATTTTTTTTTTATTTTTACACACATATTTTGGTTTATCTTCCTTCTGCAATCATTATCTGAAAATTAATGACTCAACTTCAAAGTCACCCTGTATATAAGTTACAACAAACGTACATCCCTAACGATGTTATTTATGAAAATTATGGAAAACAATTTGCTCATCCGGAAAATACGCGGCAAGAACAATAATGCCATAACAAACATATACCACCAACGCTACGGAGTACCACAAGGAGCTATTCTCGGACCCTACCTGTGGAACCTATACGTTGATGATCTGCCGGTAGGAAACATTGCAGAACAAACGATGTCACGATACTCAAATGATTTGTGCGTGCTAAATACGTTAAATCCAAACAGCAAAGCACAGCCATCATGAGAGCAAAGTGGACAATGGAAGATATATTTGAATTCTATGATTACTTACTTGTAATAAGCAGAAAACCGAGCGTATTGTATTTGGACGAGCACGAACGTACCCCAAACAGATCAAGTTTAGCGGGAAACGAGCAGCTTACGCTCAACCTCCAATAATTGTCTTCAGCTCGAATGTTTCTTTAGAAGTGAAACTGAAAATAATTGAAGGATGTATCTACCAGGTACTATCATACGGACCTACTGTTGTATTACCACGCATAAGGTAAAGAGGCAATCTTGAATAGGAAACGTGCCTTAAAAAGATATATAAAAGAGCCAGGCAGTTCCCCTATTGTATTACAGATGATATACTTTGGGAGGTGCTACAAAAGAGCAATGTGGCAATACCCTGGATCAGGCGCCCAAGAAATTTCTTAAAAACACCGACGAAGACAAATCAGCCAAGCTAGCGATGTCAAATCCAGCCTCCAAAATTCAAGCGTACTGTGCACTATATCTCATAATGGTGATAATGCTTTTTAAAAAGGTTTTGTCCTAAATTCCCTACCCTCCTTGTATTTCACCCATTTCCTGAAAGGAACATCTAGTTTTGTTTTATATTGCTTGCATAGGTATAAGCTAAATGCATCATATGTAACATAATCAAAATGAAATAAAGGTTCCAAATTGAATTGATAGATTGATCTGCAACTACGTGGTGCATGCATCTTTTTACGTAGAAAACACTACACATTATTACAGACTTGGATAGGCCCTTTCAAACGACGCAATTTCATATTACGTACTATAGAGATAATGGATAATCTATCGGAAAAAACGCTCAACTTTGACAAGTTGCACATCCGCAAGTGTTATAGCAAGAGTACTGAGTGTTTCGTCAGGAAAATTCTATGGTTCTTCGTTTTGGTCCTATCTACTTACTTTCTCAGTTTTTTTATAGCTTACACAGGGTGGTGAAGAAGGCAAAATGAATCCTTCTATCCTAGACACCCCTAAACTTCAATAAATCTTGACTTTTGTTATAGCATAAAGGCTGAATTTGATGTATATTGCTTGGGGGACTATCAACCAGTAACCGGAACGTTTTAATGGTTTTTACATTTTGCCAGACGCATTGAAAGTCTGCCGTAGGTAGGTGCGCGAAGCAATATACAGGGTGTTTTCAAAGTCATTTATTTTAACTGCTTGTAGGACTCGCCAAGGGGAGTTGATATACCAAAAATCATCTATATAAAAGTTAAATAATAAAAGAACTGGTAAAAGATCAAAAATTAAAAAAATAAGAATATTATTACACAAATTTCTTGATATTTTCGACCACTGCCGTATAAAGTCTTAGCGTTTTTTGTTTACTACTCTTATCGTTTATCTAAATTTGGCCAACTTTTTGTGTTATTGTATGGTTTTCAGTACGAGTCTTAGGTCCGATCAGTTGTACCAGCCGATTGCAGATTGCCGATGAAGAATATGGCTAGTTGTTTTCGCTGGCACCTACAGATGGCGGCTGCAACAGCGCAACAGTAATCATAGTCACCAACAGAAGATGTCGATCAAGACGTCGCAGTATTTGGGAACTTATGAGGGATGAACCTCAATCCCAGTAGAATCTGACAGATTAGCCATCGACAAAATAATGAAGGTACTATTCGTCATTTGTTTGTCTGGGCGGTCCGTAGGACCTTTGCCCATTAGCCACTGTCTAATGTACGTTAGTC